ACACACACACACAAAATTCTATAACAACATAAGGCAGTAAAACAAAGAAGTAGCAAGCTCTCTTTTTTGCTCGTTTCTGAACACAGAAACCGAAGAAAGGACTGTAAAGTAGAAAAGGGTCAAGATTTAAAAGTTTTTTCATTCTTATTTCTTTCTCAGTTTGAAAGCCTGATGCTGTAAAAGCAGAAATTTCCATTAGTTTGTAAAGCATCTCGTAACTCCTGCTAAAGAGGAACTGTTTTACTCATCTGAAAACCCTCACCATAGTGCCAGGCACACGAAGGTACTCAGAAAATGTTGAGTAGGTAAGACGGAAAAGCATTTATATTCCAACAAATCATACACTCTGTGTTCACCTAGCCAAATGGTTCCAAGTGACTTGAAGATAAATAACAAGTAGTCAAAAGATGAAAACAATCTTCCTCAAAAAAAAAATTCTAGAAATATGTCTTTTTGATCTGTGTCCCTTAGAATAGCACTTTGGATAGATAAAAGAGTGCAGGTTCTACTGTGAGCTCAAAAATAAACTGACTCTAAGACCAGTGCAGCCCTGGGAATAATAAACTGACTCTAAGGCCAGTGCAGGCTAAGGCAATCACTCCCCGGGGAACCCCTCCCAAGTTTACAGATGAGAGTCGATTTGTTCACACTCCCCTCAGGACTTCCTTTCTCTCATTTCTAAACAGACACAAGATGAACCTAATTTATATGATTACAAACACTCCCAGAGTATTCTCTACTCAAAGATGATACAAAGAAAGAATGGATACAAAGATGCCCTCTGGGCTCAAGAGTTAGTTGGGAAATGGGGGGCTGGCAAGAGGAGGAGGAAAGGGGGAGGCCCAAGACAGAGCAAGAGTACAACTGGGAAGGGCATTTTGTCCTGTACACAGCCAACCTGGGTTCAAACTCTGGCATTCCATATGGTCCTCAAGCCTGATAGGAGTGATTCCTGAGTGTAAAACCAGGAATAGCCCATAAGGACCCCCAGGGGTGGTGCAAAAACCAAAACAAACAAACCCACCACCCCAAAAAGAGAGTTTATGGTTAAAGGCTGGGTGTGTTTTTTTTTAATGAAGGAGTAAAGCTACAATGTAAAAGATGTAAAACTACAAGAACAAAGAAGTAAATATAATAAAAGGAAAAACTTATGAAGGACTTCAAAGAAAAAGCTATGCCTGGGGCTGAAGTGATAGCACATCGGGTGGGGTGTTTGCCCTGCACATGGCTGACCTTGGTTCGATTCCCAGCATCCCATATGGTCCTCTGAGCACCGCCAGGAATGATTCCTGAGTGCAGAGCGAGGAGTAACCCCTGAGCATCGCTGGGTGTGACCCAAAAAGAAAAAAAGGGGGGGGCGCTGGATCGATAGCACAGTGGATAGCGCGTTTGCCTTGCACGCAGCAGACCCAGGTTCGATTCCCAGCATCCCATATGGTCCCCCAAACACCGTCAGGAGTGATTCCTGAGTGCAGAGCCAGGAGTAACCCCTGCGCATCGCTGGGTGTGACCCCCCACCCAAAAAAAAAGAAAGAAAAGAAAGAAAGAAAACGTTAGCCTGAAAGAGTGTGGTTTCGCTCGACAGTCACATTAAATTATAAGGAAACAGAGACATTATTAAAAAACCTTTTGTTCTTCTTCGTTTTAACAACAGCAAAAATAAAACCTTTAAGAAACAAAAGATTAATAAAAAAATGTTTTTCTCAATATGTTGGAAATTAAAATCACTTCAAGATTCATAGGAAATCAGCATCTCGGGCCAGGGAGAGCACGGAGAGTACAGGGTACCTGCTTTTCATGCATGGGCTAGTCTGATGACCCCTACCCTGCATCACTGGGTATGGAGCTGGTGGGTCTTGGGACTGCAGTCCCAGAGCAGCTAATACTGGATCGTCTAGTCCAATAGCTAAGAATTGCTGAGAGTGGCCCGAGGCCACCAAGCACTGTGTGGGAAGATTCCCCGCTCAAAAAAAAAAAAAAAAAGGCACTTTTGATTTATCTAGGCAACATATCCCAAAACAAAGATTCAAAATGACTTGATCACAATTACTTGACCCTCCGTTGCAATATGGCGTGCCTAAAGAATTTATCATAATTTAAACAGTTCTGGTAGGTCCTCTAAAGAAACCATCTGCTACTGAATTTCTCAGGGGCAGGAGAGAGTTCAGCGGAAAGGACCACTTGCCTTGCACACATAGCCCGAGACTCCCCAGGAGTGATCTCCGACCACAGAGTCAGGGCAGGCCCTGAGCACAGGGAGGCATGGTCTAGAAACTCGAAAACCGAAAAGATAATAGACAAAAACATATGGCACTGGGCATTATAAAACAACTATTTTATAAACCAACTCGCAAATTTTACCCAATGTTTATTTAAGCATTCATCAGAAGAAAAAAAACAGAAAGTACATTTAAGCCCAAAATGACTTTGGGGAAAATGACCCCAAAAAATCTTAAGATATAAAGCCCTTTTCTTAAATATTACCGGGGGGGGGGGGGGAGGAGTGGAGTGATTGTACAGTAGGTAGGACGTTTGCTTTGCATGCAGCCAACCTGGGTTCAATCCCCAGCATCCTAGCACTGCCAGAAGTTAATTCCTAAGTGCAGAGTCAGGAGCAACCCCTGAGCATTTGCTGAGTGTGACCCAAAAAGCGGAAAAAAAAAAAAAACCTACATTCTGAAATACCTATAAAACAGAAACACATGTTTTTTGAAGTAAAACAAATTTTATTTGGAGGTTTTGAAGGGAAGGAGAAAGAGAAAGTGGGAGAGAGTGGAGAGTAACGTGCTCAAGAGAGAACCCAGGCTTCTCCAAGGGTGAAGAAAGCCCCTACACACATCCCAGCATTAGACAGGAAAGCATGAAAGTACACATCTCAAGAGGGGAGATGCGGACGACACATGTGCTCAGGCACCACATGTGCTCAGCTACATGGGCACAAGCAGCACATGGGCTCGGGCAGCATATGTCCAAATCATACTTTTATATCATTATTCTAACCTAAAAGAAAATTCTTCAAAAAGTGAAAAGAGTATCATTAGACTTTTCTTTCGCTTGTGTGTGTGTGTGTGTGGGGGGGGGGGGGGGGGGGAAGGGAGGAGGGGGAGGAGGCGGGGAACATACCTGGCAGTTTAGGGGACTATGTGGGGTATTGGAATTTGAAACCGGGTTCATGGTCACAAGCACATGCAAATACAGTGCCTTAACCTCTGATCCATCTCAGCAGACCCTCTTATTTAAAAGTGAAAATACTTTTATCTTACTAGATCTTTGTTTAGTGGTAAGAATAGTGTAAAATCACTAAAATTTTGAAGCGAAGTAAACCACAACTTTAACTATAGGTTTAAGTACTGGTTATACTTATAAAGAGTTAAACACACTAAGTTCTATACATCTCAGCTCTGTATAACAACAGAGACAATAATGAAACAGGATGTGTTTTGGCACAAAACGAGAGAGCAGGAAGGGCCTTTGCCTTGCACGGGGCCAACCCAGTTTCAAGCCGGGCACTCCATGTGGTCCCCCTAGCCTCCCAAGAGTAATTCCTGAGCACAGAGCTAGGCATAAGTCCTGAGCAAATAAAAAACAGGAGGCATGAAAAGCAGGTATGTGGTAATATGTGGTAAATATATACCAATTACTTTGTGTTGGACATTAGCAGCAGCACCTAAAACTACGGTATTAGGTAGAGACTCTGGGAGAGGAATTAGGAAGGCAAACGATACCCATTCCCAAGGACATCTATACATTGTGACTTGTAAACTGTAAGCTATAAACTCCTGTTTGCTAAAGTCTATAACAATGATTTCCATTTGAAATGCCTACAGGGTTTTATACTTTACAAGCAGGTTTCCCATCTAGCCATTCACCTGTCATTAAAATTATATAATATGAATATGTATCACAAGAAATATCTATTTTTAAAAAAATAAATTAAAATTCAAGAAGAATGAACAGGCAGTGAATGCAGAACATTTTCTGGGAGGGGAGTTCACTGGCTGTAAAGGGTCTCACAAATGGGCACTACTACCACCTCCCTCTGGAGGGGCTGACCAAGGCACAGGGCTCTACGCATCTCTCTGCTCCCAGGGTACTCAGGGGAAGGCCGGCCTGTCTTAGGGCCATGCATTGAGGCAAGAATACTGTCTTTTCTTCACTCTCAAGAAGAGATGCTCTGTCTTCTGAAACCCACCACAGAGTACAGATGACACCAACAGTTAAAGGCTATGTCACATTCCAGCCCAGTGTTCAAATGCCCTGAGCTGAAAGGAGAATTAGTCTACCTAGTAACAAAGTGCCACACTGATTTCCCATTTGTCTCATGCCTTGAAATTTCCCAGGACTGTTGAGAGAAGAAAGTCTTGCACCTTCCTGTCTTAACAGTACCTATTTACAATCTAATTTTGTTAGAGCTATACTTTGAGGGCCCAGAGATGCCAACGGGCCTGAATCCCAGCACCACAGGGTTCCCTCAGCATCTGTGGGGCTGGGGCAGGAGGGCCCCGAGGTGGCCTTGGTGGTCCCCAGCACTATAGGGCCCAAGCATCACCATGTCCTTAGGCCCCATCACAGAACAGCAGCCCAGCTGGTTGAGTATCAATGAAACGGGTCCCCAGGTTCCCAGAGCACAGCATGGGAGCACTCACCCCCAAAGAAGAACTATACTTCAATTTCTAAAAAATAAAACCAATGAAAACAAATATTATAATTCTAGATATGATTCTTAACCATAGAACAATACATACTGAGCCACAGCTGAAAAATTTGGAGGTTTAAAAAAAAAAAAAACAGAAAATTCACATTCATTCAGTTAAGGTAACCTTGTTAGGATAGTCACATTCTAGTTTCAGGATAATTTGCAAGAAAGTTAGAAATAATTTCATAATAAGAAACAAAAAGATAAGTCAAATTACTTTTTTTAAAAAAACATAAGGTAGTCAGCACCAAACAAAAAGCGAAATCTAGTTAATGCTGCTAATTTAGTTAATGTAGTCACATACCAAGCTTCAGGGAGCAAAACAGAATATTCATGTGGTGAGGTGGTCTCTGGGAAGTTGGAGAGAATGGCAAGACGATGAGGAAGCAGGTCAGATCCATGGTAAGTAAACAGAATTTCTACAGCCTGCACATTGCTCTCCTGCACAAAAATGCAAAGGATCAGTTTCTCTTGCAAACTTTATAAAGTAGTCACTGCACTACGTTGAAAACTTAAAACAATCCTCTTGAGATCTGTGTTATAATATGCTTCGAAATAACCCTGATTTCTTCTGGTCAATCACATTTCTCAACTGAACGCTCGAAGAATTATTACTTTTTTAAACTCAGGATGATGAGTAAAAATAAAGTATGATTTCTCCATATTTATTCATATGATCAAAAAAGAAATAATAGTATAAGCAAGCAATAATATTAACTACACGACTTAAAGATTCAGAAAGTGTTAATAATCATAATTATATTTACAAAAAAAAAAAGAAAGAAATTACCCGAGCATATGTTCTTGCTGAGAGAACAATATTCTGATTTCTGAACTTCTTAAAGAACTCAGCATCATATCTCTGTTCAGATGAATGGGGCACTCCCAGGATGGCCTGAGGAAAACAATGGTCTAATGAAAATACTTTCGGAATATGGCTAACAATATTAAAAATCTTTACACTAAATTAAGCTATTAACTAAAGTATCACATCTGCATTCTTAGCTTCATTTTGAAAATGACTATATAGCTTTATTTTTAAAATAATTACATATTAAGTACTGGTCATGGGGAGGGGCTGGAAATAGTAGAGCAGACAGGGTGTTTAGATAGGGTGTTTGCTGTGCATGCGGCTGACTGGGCTCCAAGCCCCAGCAACCCATACGGTCCCCCAAGACCACTAGAAGTGAGTTCTGAGTGCAGGGCCAGGAAGAACACCGGAGCACTGCCAGATATGGGATTCGCATAAAGATAAATAAAAACGGTTCATTTTAGGGGCCGGAGCAATAGCATAGCGGGTAGGGCATTTGCCTTGCACACGGCCGACCTGGGTTCAATCCCTGGCATCCCATATGGTCCCCCAAGCACTGCCAGGAGTAATTCCTGAGTGCAGAGCCAGGAATAACCCCTGAGCATTGCTGGGTGTGACCCAAAAAGAAAAAAAAAATGGTTCATTTTAGAGAACTGGAGGACAAAATTATATATATAGGCTACGTAAAAGTTAACTTACAGGAGGACAAACAAAATCCATCATCTAGTGGGGCCAGAGAGATAGAACAGTGGGTCAGGCACTTGCTTTGCAGGTGCCCGACCGGGGTCCAATCCCTGGCACCCCATATGGTTCCCCAAGCATTGCCGGCTGTGACCCACGAAGCAAAATGAAACAAAACAAAAAATGCAGCATCCGGTAGGAACAGGCAAGCAGTTATATATGGCTGCTCATTTTGAGGCTCTGGCACATTCAGACAGCTGTGTGGCCAAGGACCACTGAGAGTGGGCCCTGAGCCCTGCTGGGAAAACCCTAGCCAAACGCAAACAAAAAACATATATATGAAAGAAAACGCTGGGATGGGATAAAAGAGAATATAAAATTAACCAAATATTGAAAATGGCTGAAGCCACATCAGGGTTCATTGTATTGACTTTCTGTACTTTCAGGGCTTGAAAACTTTCTTCCCCCACCCCCTTTGTTTTGGGGGGGGGAAGAGGTTTTGGAGGCCGCACAACAAAAATTTAACTCCTATCAAAGCATGGAAGAGCTTTCAAAGTAAAACCACACACTCCTCACTAATCTTTGCATCTTTACTCATTGCCCCCGCATCCAGCTGCCCTGAGTCGCCAACTGTTTCAGGTGCCTCAATGCCGCCAGGCCTGTTTGCACACAGCTCACTGAGGTTCCACACAAGCTTCCGAATAGAAGTTACCTCCCAATAAGCATTTGTTCCCTTTTCTCCTATTTGGACAAGTGATTTACTCTCTCTAACTCTTCGTTTTATAGCCATAAAATGAAGAAGTTAATTACCCCTGGTCCAGAGGACTGGGAAAAAGTCTGAACAGACTTGGCTGTAAGTCAACAACAAATGAGTTGATGTGTCTTATGGTATGCTTTCACCTGTTCCTTCAAAAAATATACCGTGATCCTGATGGAGTCAAATATCCTGAGTTCTGGGAATAGAGCATCAAACAAGACACAATCCTCTCCCTAAGGAACTTCCATTCTCATGTTCCTTGACCCCCTAAATATGTCTTTCTTCACTCGTTAAAATACCACTTCCTGTGTAGTGTTTTCTTGGACATCCTCAGGAAAACTTTTGTTCCAGTACATGCTCTCGGCAATTCTTTATTATTGCTTACTGCTGATATAATGAGGACTCCACAAGGACTAGAACCTGCTCATCTCTTTGCCTCCAGTACCGACATGATACCTGACACTCCCTCATGTAAAATTTACATGAACCATTTTTATCTCATTTATCACAGAATTAATAAAGTGAGACCCCATGATTAGAATGCAATGGCTATGTATATCAATAAATGGTAGTCAATTTACCTGAACATCTTCATTATTGAGTTTTCAAAGCAAATTAATCAACTTCACCTAATTTTCAAGAGTTTAGCTTTTAAAATGCAGGGCTCAACAAATAGCTTAAAGATGACTACTGCCATATAATAATAAATGGACTTATAACTGTCAAACATGGAATAGCAATTTATTAACTAACAGTAATTCGAAGAAATTAAAGGACAGAGAGATGGACCAGGGGGGCAGGAGCACAAACTTTGTATCCAAGAGTCCTGGGTTCAATCCCTAATAAGGCAGTTCTTCCTAGCAAGGCCCTGCTGGAAATGACTCCCTTAGCACGACACCACAAGGAGCCCACGAAAACTACCAGAACTACCGGGTACAACATACACTCCAAAAAGAAAGATAACTGAATAATAAGACTCAAAACCTTTTTTTGAACTTGTTATTTCTAAGATCTTGTCATCAGTGACAATATCAAAAACAAACTACACAGCACTTACTTCTGAAGTATATAGTATATTGTATGTTTACAGAATATTAATTTTATGTCTTATATCAAAATATTATAGAACTAAGACATATGAAAAATGACACTTCAGGAGCTATAGTTATAACTATAAGAAACTCTGTAAATTATTGGAATAAAATGATATATTACTTTGTTTCCTAATAATAACCAAAGAAACAGCCCTCTACTGTCACCATAACTTTGCTTAAAACAACCTATGATGTCAGCAGATGGGAGATCAAGTTCTTTTTAAGTTGACTGCAGGTATCAGAATTATAAATACATACAGTATTCCAGGGAAGGGCATAATTAAATGTGACATTTACTGAGCACATAACTATGTACTTATGTACCAGTACAAAAGTCAAGACAGATATCAAGGTGTAATACAGAATGTGGAAGTTACCTGCAAGAAGCAAACTTTAGGGGCTAAAAATTATAAAATCTAGGTAACTACAGCTGGGAGGGCCATATGGAAAAGTAACCTAAACTACATATGGATCTAGTTTATATATACATATATATATATATGAAATGTTCCTCACACTTTTGATATATTTAAATGGATCTAAGTAACAAGTGCTAGTCAAGCCCCCCTAAATAAGGACATCTGTATTTCTGTATTTATAGCTCTGAAGAAACAAATACAAAATATATTTTTAAGCTAAGGGTTCAATTTTTGCCACAGTTAGGAAAATAGACCCATAACATATTTCAAAAAAAAAGAGTTGGAATATTCTTCTTCTCATTAAAAACCAATAGTTTTATCACCAAAATGTGGTACTGTGGAAAGCTGTATTTCATAAAATTAAAATCAAAATGTAAGTTAAATGATTGCAAATCTAAGGCCTGTATATGCATTAAATGGCTAAAGCATTCTATTTCCTATACTAATAAAACAATATATGACCCTTCACAATTTCAATTTTTTCACTAAAACCAGTATACAAGACAAACTGCTTCTGAACAAAATGAACTTTTCCCACTCCTGACAAAATAATTTTTCCCACATAAACAGCTCTGAAAAACAAGAATACCAGATAGTGGGACATCTGTAGAATTTTAATGACAAACCAAATGAACATAATTAGCTTGATAACAAACTACTCCTTACCTCGTATGTTGCAAGCCGATCTAAGTAGGTTAATAATTTCAGTCTACAACGGCAAAGTTCCTTTTGTTCCAGTGTCAACCTGTTTTAGACAACTTTATTAGGCTATTTATACTTACATAAAAGCACATTTGTTAAGAGTTAGAATATAAATGGTCAATAGTCCATTAAGTCTAAAACCCACAGTGCAGCACAAAAGCACAATGGTAAAATATTAAAATGCATTTAAGTTGCTGAAATAATTTACAGCAATTATCTCTAGTAAATAGCACACTTAACTAATTATTTTAATAAAATTTAAAGTCATCATTTACTTTGAAAACTTCACTAATTTAAGTAGTTCTCGTCTCTTCTTAAGCTCCTTCTCCTTTTTATTCTTGGCAGGTTCTTCTTCAAGCTCTTCATAGGAAATTCCTTCAATATCTACTTCACCAGGTAATGTAAACCTCAAGGAAAAAAATTTAAAAAAAAATTTAAATCAGCTTTCTTAAACTTATGGAAAAATAGAAAGAGCTATGCTTGGAATATCACGTTTCACTCAAATGAGAGAAAGAATCCGGAGTTCTGACATCCGTCGACGATCAAGGATCAGAGACGCTGTCTCATTTGCCAAGGTGTCGAAAATCAAATGGGCTGGTCACGTAATGAGATTTAAAGACGACCGTTGGACTAGAGCTGTTACTGATTGGATTCCACGGGATGTCAAGAGACCGCGTGGCCGCCCACCTACCAGATGGTCAGACTTCTTCCTGAAGATCATGAACGATCGGTTTGAGGCCCTTCATGTTCCCGGAGCGAACAGATGCCATTGGGCTACACTAGCACGCAACAGGGACAAATGGAGACGTTACTGGCGCCCGCTCGAGCAAATCGACGACTAACGGGAAGTTAAGTGATTAAGTGAAGTGAAACTTATGGAACGAAAAACTATTTTTCCTGATACTGATTGCGTTATTGATCTTCTGCTAAATTACCAATGATTTGAAAGCACTAGCTATTATGATTTACTCATATACACTGAGTGAACTGAAAGTCATCAGTAATCCTCACATTTAGAAATGTTAAAATCCAAATCCCACAGCCACCACCACGGAAGCCACATCCCAGTTTCACAATTTTACCACTAATCATGGCAGAGGCAAGCCACTGAAACGCACAGGCCCAGTTCTAAAGGTCCTGGAGTTCCTGGAGCAACACCTCCCAGTTCCATAATATTGTCGGGTCAATAGGGGGACACCAAATTAGATGTGAAAGCAGCACAGAAACTGACTAAGCTCAATAAACAAACAGTAATGCAGAAGGTTCAACCAGCCAAATTTTAGTAAACCTTCAGAGGACTTTAATAACCCCATTGTGAGGTATTAACAGTTTTCACATTTTTCTTTTGCTGAAATATTTTAGAATGATTCCATTAGTCATCTGTTGTAACAAGCCATATAAAATGATTTTGTGCCTGCTAAGGGGGGCAGGCTTAGAGGATGAGTGGGAAAATGGGAACAATGGCGGCGGGAAGTTAACACTGATGATGGGGATGGCATGGAACATTGACTACCCAAAAGAACGATATCATGAACAACTTTGTAAACCAGGGTGTTTAAAGGGGGCAAAAATAATTGAGCCAGAAACCAAAACCTACTTCTAAAAATACTTAAATCTAAATTCACAAGAAAACACTCTTTGAGGAAAATGTTACCCAGAGTTCACAATTTCTATGTGTTGTGTTTAAGACCTTAAGAATACCAACATTGGGTGTTTTGTTTTCTTATTGTTTTTGTTTTTTTTGAGGTGGGGAGTTGTATGTTTTTTGTTTAGGGGCTACAACCGAGTTGCTCAGGATTCATTCCTGACTCTGTACTCAGGGATCACTCCTGATGGGCACCGGGAACAATATCAGGCACTTGGGATCAAACCCAGTAAGCTACATGCAAGGCAACCACCCGCCCTGCTGTTCTATTCTCCAGCCCCAAGAATATCAATCTTATTTACATTTTATGCTTGTCTGCCTTTTTTGTGGTGCTAAGGATCAAATGCAGAACTTAACACAGGGAAAGCCTTTGCTTTCCCACAAGACCATAAGCCCAATCTTTCCTCCTATTATCTAAATGTTAGATCATATTTATATCCCCCAAAAGTCCCTGGGTTTGATAAACAATAGCTCTTATGAAATAATTATTATGTTTTTATTAACTGACATTAATAATAAACTGATGACTGGCCGGTGCTTAAATAATTTTTACTTTCGTATGATGCACTGCAATTCAAAGTAACTATAATAAGAAGATATAAGCTTCATAAATTGATGGTGAATGAAGCTCAGGCTTAAAAGTGGTTCATTATCAGCACATCCAAGTGTCTCTTCATTCCACAAAACTCAATAAATGGTTTAAAATTTGTTCTTTCTTTGCATCACAATGTCAAATATAAATATTTAACTTAAGCGAAGCAGTATTTAGAGGTCTCTTCAATGATTCAATGTGATTGGCCAAACAAATGAAAGCAAAGATAGACATATGGGATGATATCAATTTAAGATATTCCGCCACCAAAAAAAGATGATCAGAATAAAGACACTCCACAGACTAGGATAAATATTTGCTCACTATACAAGCTACCGAGAGTATCTCGCCCGCACGGCAAAGCCTGGCAAGCTACCTGTGACGTATTCGATATGCCAAATACAGTAACTAGTGTCACAATGGAGACGTTACTGGGCCTACTCGAGCAAAATCGTTAAACAATGGAAAGACAGTGACAGTGATACATGTGACAAAGGCTTTAATATGCAAGACATACAAAGTATTTGTACACATTACAAATGGGGGAAAAAACTAAAACTTAACAAGAGAAAAACAAAACAAAAAAATCATTAAAAAATGGGAAGAAGACGCCTTCTCCGGATGGAATCCCAGTGACCATGAGCTTCTACAAGCATGGCTCTGGCATGTGGGTACCAGGACATTTTTTCTGAAAATGTGAGTTGGCTGATGAGTCATTTCCTTATATGCAAAGTGATCAATGGAAAGTAAATCATCCAACATTTCTCCCTGAAAATCAGGCTTGACTCTTTTGCAAACCACAACACCCAAAAGGAGAGAGAGAACAAAGGGGAATGCCCTGCCACAGAGGCAGGGTGGGATGAGGGTGATGAGGGATGGGAGGGATACTGGGACCCATGGTGTAGGAAATGGGCACTGGTGGAGGGATGGGTATTTGGTCATTATATAATTGAAGCCCAAGCACAAAATTTCTAAGTCTACAACTGTACTTCATGATGTCTCACTAATAAAAATTTAAAAAATAAATAAATACAATAAAAGTACGGTCACAGTCCTCCCGTTGTTCACAGATTTGCTCGAGCGGGCTCAGTAATGCCTCCATCATGAGACTTGTTGTTACTGTGTTTGGCATATCGAATACGTCACGTGTTTGGCATATCGAATACATTACTGTGTTTGGCATATCGAATATGAACAGAAAATCCTCAAGGAAGACATACAGAAGGCCAAAAAGGTGTATGAAAACATACTCCACATCCCTTATCAACAGGGAAATACATATCAAACTATAATGAGATCTCATCCTCACACCAGTAACCTAGCACACATCATAGCAATCAAATACAACCCATGTCGGCAGGGATATGGTAAAAAGAAAATCCTCATGTACTGCTAGTAGGAATATCAAATTGTTCAATCATTTTTGGGAAGAACTGGACATGTCTCAAAAATCTAAAACTTGAGCTTCCATGACTCATTTCTGTGCATCTATTCCAAGGAGCCAATAACTCTATTTAGAAAAGCTACGAGCACTCCTATTGCAGCACTATTCATAAGAGCCAAAATCTGGGGGAAAAAAATGCAAGAGTCTAAGAATCAATGACGAGACAAAGAAACTATGGTACATATAGAAACAATGGAATACTACTCAACTCTAAGAAAAGACAAAATCATGCCATTTGCTGCTATGTGGATGAAACTGGATGTTGTCAGCCTGAGTGAAGTCTGAGAGGGACAGACACAGAATATCTGTCTCACATGAGGGATATAAAAAAATTAGTATATAAGGGACTAACAAAAAGCAAAGGCAGAGGGCTGGAGCGACAGCACAGAGGGTAGGGCGTTTGCCTTGCATGCGGCCTACCCGAGTTCAATCCCTGGCATCCCATATGATTCCCTGAGCACTGCCAGGAGTAATTCCTGAGTGCACAGCCAGGACTCACCCCTGTGCTTCACCAGGTGTGATCCAAAAAGAAAAAATAAAAAAGCAAACGCAACAGAATCCAACAACTGATCTACAGAACTGAGCTTAGCATGGCAGGAATACAACAGAGTACAGTAAGAAGGGCTGACTCTAGTGCAAACAACACCACCCAAAAGAAAAGAGAGAACAAAAAGGAGTGCCCCTGGGGCTGGAGAGATAGCACAGGCGGTAGGGCATTTGCCTTGCACGCGGCCGACCTGGGTTCGATTCCCAGCATCCCATATGGTCCCCTGAACACCACCAGGAGTAATTCCTGAGTGCAGAGCCAGGAGTAACCCCTGAGCATCGCCGGGTGTGACGCCCCCCCCCAAAAAAAAAAAGAGTGCCCTGCCTCAGAGGCAGGGTGGGGTAGAAGGATGGGCACTGGTAGAAGGATGGGTATGTGTGTGAGGAACTGGGTTCAAGCCCTAGTATAGGAAGGAAGGAAGACGTAAACCAAAGGAAACTGGTTCATTACAGATTAGCCTCCATAAACATTTATTCTTTCTGAAGTCTTAACTTGTAAGTTTTCACACAAAGTCACTTTTATTTTCTAATCCAAATCTTTCTGTAACTAACCTGCCATCATCTGCTCCTCTTCCTATTGCTATTAAAGCTTCCAGGTCTGTGCCTTTTAGTCCATACTGAAGGAGTTCTTTGGCAGAATCCACATTTTCGGGAACTCTTTCCAAACACTCATGAAGAACCCAAGATCGTTTCTTTATTTTACTCTGGATACAAAGAAAATAAAAACAGAAGCATTAGAGAACATATGACACCTGCTACCGCCTGATAACTGCATTCTGAAAATGATAAAGCTCAGGGTCAGAAAGTGCAATAATTAGGGTTCTTATTGCACACAACTGACCTGGGCTTAATCCCTAGTACCACTTAGGGTTCCAAGCCCTGCCAGGACTAAGGAGAGAGCAAGAAGTTAGTCCTCAGCACTCTCAGGTGTGGCCCAAATTATAATAATAATCAAATGAAATTGTAAAGCTCTGCCTGAGTGAGTACAGCATCCTAAGTTCCTGGCCACAAACATTTGCCAGAGAGGCTCACTGTAAACAAGAACATTTCCAATAGATTAGAGTCAGATTTGGGGTGTTCCTATTGCTCGCTTCCTTCTAATGAAGCAGTGAAACACGAAATTCAGTATTCTTCTACAAGAACATAAACATATATCATGTCAGACTTTTATAGACGTTTATAGATGATCTTTATTTTGCATTTGGGCTGTACAAAAGAACAGAAAACAAAGTTGTAAGACAAGATAGATACATCCTATCTTCACATCCTAATGAGTATATTTAACTTTGAAACATGGTGAGTGAGGCAAAATATATCAAGAGTCCCTATTTCCTTGACCAAAGATCCATCACTGGATCATGGGACAAAGGAATTCAGTGATAAAAAGTCATGGGATGCTGCTTCGTAGAGAGGTCAAGGGCATATTCCAATAGTTTCCTCCAAGTCCATTCAAAATCTGGGACTTGTCTTCCTAGAATTAGTGTGTCTACAAATCTGAACAAATCTGAAATACTACCCAACACATAACCAATAATTCTTTTAAAAATTGCAACCTGTCAATTCTTTCTTTAAACACTGCACAAGTCATTAGCTCTTTTCTATGTCTCTGGCCTCTGTGCCTGCCAGTCTATTCCATCAATATACAAGCGCTAGGAAGTGAGGGCATCCTCACCCTTCAGAGGTGTTCCTGCCACCTCTCTCCAGCTCCCGCTACACCTCCAGGGTCAAAACTCCAAGACAGCACCCCATAAAGACTAAGCCGGAAAGAGAGAACAAGGGTAAGGTGCTCGCCCTACATAAGATCAAGCCAGCTCAATCCTCAGCACCACATATGGTCCCCTGAGCACCACCAAGAGAGATCCCTGAACACAGCCAGGAGTGGTCCTGGAGGACAGAATCTGGAGTCAGCCCTGAGCATTGCTGGGTTTGCCTAGAAAACCAAAACACGTGAAAGACTTTTAAAACAGACTCTATCGTGATTATTACCTTCACTAGATTTCAAGGCCATATATGTATTTATATATATATATATATATATATATATATATATATATCTACAATTTTTCTTGTGGTTATTTATATTTTAGATATAAAGCTTGCCTTCTCATGAAAACTTTATTTAGGCCCCTATTGTACCAGCTCTAGAACAACACTGCCAATTCATTTTCTGCATTAACTTATCTATTCTAACACAAGTCAGCTCCGTCAGGAATCAACCCTATTCTTTATTAGGCTCCAGGAAAAAGTTCATTAAATGGGCAAACGTGAATATGTATGCTCACTGTCCCGTGTCACAAAAGAATAAAGATAGCTCAGGCTTGGGATTCTGACATTCTATAGAGTACAAAGCTTTCTTTCTTTTTCATTTTTGTTTTTTAATTTTTTTCTTCCCTCTCGGGTTGTCACCTCTGATGTATTAATAGTTTTCTGCACCCTATTTTGTTGAAGAAACTTCTTCCATGTAACTTTCTCAGATTATGTTCTTATTAATTTTCAAATATCTGAGTACATAAATTTTGGGTGTTTTTTGTTGTTGTTGTTGGGGGGGAGGGGCACACAGGTTGTACTCAGGACTTGATCCTGGCTCTGCATTCAAGGATTAGTCCTGGAGGGGTCAGGGGACCACACTGGGGGCCAGAGATCGAACCTGGGTCTGCCCTGCTGTGCAAAGCAAACACACTACCAGAAGTACTACCTCTCTGGCCGTTCACATATACAAGTTTTTCTGAACAACAACTACCCTACTTACCATTTCTTAGAACCTTCCAAAATGCAAAGGTGTTTTCCTTTCTAAATGTCAGATAAAAAGTCATACCCTTTTCAAAACATTCTGTAAATTCAACTATTTCCTCATAAAGCTATATGGCAAAACAGATATTGCCGTTACCTATTTATTTTCTCACAGCAACAGGGATGGTTAACTCTTCCCACTCAGAGCTGACACAACACTAAGCTTTGTCAAAAGTCGCCTGCTTCTAAACCAGATGTGCTCCTGCTTGTTCTTTTTTCACCACGTTCCTTTAGCTCGATAGCCTGCTACACACCTGAGGGGAATCCAGGAGGAGGTTCCCAGAGGAAGAGAGGCAAGACAACCTCCACTCCAGAGGGAGGTTTTTATTTTCACTCCTAATTCTGACTGTGGTTCCATCTACCAGTTTTGTGATACGTATGTTGGTAGGGGGTTCCTGTTACCAGCCCCACTTACAAGCATCTTGCTCATTCATCCACCGTCCTCTGCTGCCTGGTGACCAAGAACCAGGCCAGGTCCGCATAAGCTCAGAGAACTTCTCCTCCATCCCCTGCATGGCAACCATCCTTCTCCAGTAAAGAAAGAAAAGGCTTTCCTTGAAAAACGGTTCCCTCCTTGCCACCTTCTTGCTCCCTTCAGTTCTAGAATATTCTACAGGGTTATCTATAGATCTTTATAGCTAATCTCCCATGACTAGAAAAAAAAATTCCCATACTGAAACATTCCTTGTTCAAATTACTGAGTGGTTATACTTTATCTCAGGCACTTTCAACCTACTCCCACTCCAATCCCTTCAATTTTGTGGTCAGTGTATAAGGGTTTGTTTTCATTGTCAACAAACTTAGTAACTTTGCTTCTTTCACTATATATGAATGAAATGATGTGGAATTTCTAAAAAAAAAATACTGAGTGGTTTCTAGATCCTATCAGGCTGTAGATGAAGAAAAGTCAAAAGGGAGAGTAAGAGAAAGGATAACGCAAGTCTAGGTATATGCTGGCTGAGCAACTGCTGATCACTTATCTGCAGTACCAAAAAGCACAACTGCAGAGCCAAAAGAAGTAGTAACAAGATCACTGAGTTGAGTAAAACACACTTCATCAACCATAGAAAAGGCAGCAATGTCAAACGAATTCATAAGAAGCCATACAGCGAAATGCAGTTCACAAATTCAAATTTTACCACGTTTCCAAAATTCTGAAACCTACCAGGTAATTCTGAATGGAAGCAATGTTGACAGCGGACTTCCTCCACTGCCTCTGATATACGAGATCGGTATCCAGGCCATAGGTCTGAGCGAGAGACAAGGCTTCCTCATATTCTTCACTTTCGATCTGTGGGCATGAAAAATGAAGCAGCAATGTCACATTACTGACTCATCCCTGTTGTCATTATGATAGAACGCACGGTGACAACCCTGCATCTGTACAGCATTTTAGGCATCCTTATCTATCTCCGGTGGCACCATAAGCTCGCAAACATTGTGAGGAGCAAAGAGATCAGCTACTTCTTTTAGCACTTTAACAGAAGACAGGATGAGAAATGTCTACACTTATGGCAAGACCAGGATGAGCAGTAAATCAGCCAAACTCCTAGCGCCGAACTCCACCAGGAGGAATGCCAATGCACAGTGTGGCTCTAATCTGCTTCCCGAGCAAACCCCTGACAGGAAAGCAAGGGGACTCCCTTCCCTCACCATTTGTAGTCCAATCAGGAGCCCAAGGTCAAATGAAGGAGAGCAAAAAACCCAGGCCCACCCAGCTACGAAATGCATTGGCTAAATGAATTCAGCCTTATCTGCTGTCTGAATTTAGAGTCTGCAGTTTAAAAAACAAACAAAAAACAATTCTTTTTCACACTGATAATCCTGATTATGATTTTATGTTAACTCTAATGCTGATATAAGTTAATGAAACTTTACAACAAGTCTATGTAACTTCATAATACAGAAGTTTTACTGACTGATACTAGTATTTCTTAAAACTTCCTGTTACTAATGCCCAAAAGGAGAGAGAGGGTATTGGGGAAAGTGCCTGCCATGGAGGCAGGGTGAGGACTGCGATGGGGTCGGGGGAAGATACTGGGGACACTGATGGTGGAAAGTGTACACTGGTGGAGGGATGGGTGTTCAATCATTATACAGCTGAATCTCGAACATGAAAGCTTTATAACTGTATCTCACAGTGGTTCAATAAAAAATAAATAAATAAAATAAAAAGTAATGTGGAGTCCATGCCCAATTCAATCAGCTTAATCAATGGCTGAATAATTAAAAGTACTCCTACATTAAAATTAAATTTTAAATTTAAAAAAAAGCTTACTGTGGCTATTTCTAACCTATCTGGGGAGAGAGCTGAAGAGGGATGCCCCTGTCTTCCTGTAGTAGAACAGTTCTTTCTCGGTGAAATAAAATCGAGCTGGCTGTCCAGGAGAAGCTCCACCTCTAAAGGGCTGCTCTCTCACCTTTCTCTGGTAAAGTTCCTCTGGAGTTGTCGAGCGCAAACTCACAAGGCGATAGTTCTTAGTGATGGTCCGCGGGCGCTTCCGGGGCGGGGCAAACCGCTCCATCTCCGTCACCAAGTACAGGCCCTGCTTGACATAACCAAAGTAGCGGGCCTTGGCAGAAGTTTCCTGGTCCGAATCAGAATCCTCTTCACCTTCATCTTCTTCTCCGCCTCTAGCCTCCAAACGAGACCGTTTGGGTGCAAGTCTAATCTCACACTAAATTGAAAAATAAGATGGCAACTTAATAGTCAGGAAGCAAAAAAGCCACTTAGAATTAATCAGGAATATATCTGTAGTTATCCCCTGGTTATTTTCATTACAGTAATTGTGATTAATTCCAAAAGTGAAACTCAGAGGAATACAGCAGCACACATTATAGACATGGCCAGCACAGAACATCAGCTCTGAATATCCAAGAATAAAGCCAATTTGTTAATAGGTCATAAACATGTTCTCCTAAATACAAGTGTGGCAGTTATTTTAGGTAAATAAAGAAGTTTAAGAATGTTTATTCTTCATTCTTAGTAATTTTATGCTATGGTAATCTAAGACTTCTTAATCTATTTAGAAAATGAATATAAAGTATTTATTGGCTTTATGAGAATAGCTCTCCAACCCTCTTTACAAACTTCTGAGACTGAAAGCCTGACTCTTAAAGATAACTTTCATTTCTGAGTTGACAGAGTTGGCTTAGATTTTAAGCCCTGGTTCTCTTTTAAAAACATCTTTAGACTCAGTAACAAACCTTGAAGGAGAAAAAGTATTTGTCAATAGGCACTAAGGTTAAAGTTATTGAAGGCTGTTACCCTTGAAAGATTTAAAATAAGTATATCAAATGACCAAACATAATCTTAAAATGTCACCCTTGAAAGACTTAAAGCAAGAATTTTAAATGACTAAAACATAATCGCAAGACTCTAGCTTCTAATTTCAAGTCTTTCTCTACAACAAATAAGTTTTACTTTAAAAAAAATTTTATATATATATATATGTATTAGTTAACTACATAGGGAAAAAAGTTGTATTTCTTATGTAGTAGTACTTTTTACATTGTAAGATGACTAGTGAAGAAGAAAAAAACTCTGCAACTGAAGGAATTACGCTTCATAAAGAACAAAATAACTAGACTTTTTTTTATTCTCATAACATTTTTTGAATGAACAACAATCTTTTTTAGGCTGCATGCACCCAATTTCTAATTTCAGCCACATATTTCTATTTCTAAAGATAAGACTAAAGATTAAGGATGGAAAGGTTACCACAAATATATGGTTGCTTTAGGGGAAAAGTATTACCTCCAAGCTTAGAAACCCCCCATCATGTGCAGCAGTGACTTGAGGCGATGGCTCAAACCATTCACAGGATTTTCCCAGCAAATTCTTCAAAGTTTTCACTGATGACACAGTCAAAGCACCAGAGCAGCGAGCCAAGGTCACTGCGTTGTCTGCCCACCAATTTACATCAATCAGAGGGTAGAAGGTCTCTTTATCTGATGGAGGGAAAGTAAATCAACACAAATGCCCATTCAACGCAGTTTATTGTGTTTAGTAAAATAATCAATTTAAAAACCACAACTGTTCATGAAAGGAGTGCTAAATATCCAGAAACAAAGACTGGAAGAATGGGACAGGGCTTCAGGCCTCTTTGCCTTGCACTCTCCACAACCCCAATTTATACCACCAGGGGTCACTACTAAGCACGGAGCCTGGGACAGCTCAGCGCGCTGCCTGGCGTGACCTGAACACCAATTTATAATTTTAAGTAAAACAAATGCCCTGAAGCAGGTGGGCAGACACTCAGATGAGCAGAGCCCCTCTCTGCACCTAGAAAACAGGGGCATCCTCATTGCCAGGAGAAGGGAGCTAGCTAAGAGGCATCTGAAGGAATTCTTGTAAAGTAGCACCTAGTTTAGGACCATCAAGCCCTTTTGTCTAATCACATTTTCCCCATACCATTCCATTTTTCATCAAGTTTAATTTTAAAATGCTCAGGTTTAACCATTCCATTATAAATGATTCCATGTTCCATTAAGTTTAATGTGAATAGGTATGCTTACTCTTGTTAATATGTCTTTTGCCAGTACAATGCATTGGACACCAACTAGCAAATGTGGGAGAGTAGAAGGAAAAGGAGAGAAGCTCTTCCTCCCCTAAGATTTCAACTAATTAGAAAGAAAAATCAGAAAATAAATTCAAAATTATAAAAATAAAATGGGGGGCCAGAAGCGGTAGGGCGTTTGCCTTGCACATGGCCCATCTAGGTTGGATCAATGGCATCCCATAGGGTCTGCCAAGCCCACCAGGAGTGATCTCTAAATGCAGAGCCAGGAGTGAGTGAGGCCAGAGCAACACAGTGTGGCCCAAAAACTGAAATAAACTAATGAAAGAAAATAAATCATCTTTAGCAGTGAAAATTAACTGTGGTCCACCAAACTAAGGCTTTCGAACGAAAAATGGCACAATATTAATTACAATTCTATTACCCTTTTTGTACTTTGTTGATTCCACAAAGGATCGAAAGGGGATGAAGGCAATGCAACAGTAGAGATAAACTTCTCAAAATACACTGATATCTGATCAAGACAGAGGTTTTCAAACAGGAAGTCAGCTTCATAAGAGTGACTCATTATTGGGCTGGGGAGAGGAGAGTGGGTGAGGTGCCCCTCCCACCCGTTCACTCCCTGGCATTGCATATGGTCCCACCAAGCACAGCCAGAAATGATCGCTGAGCACAAATCCAGGAGTAACTCCTGACTTTGGCATTGCCAGATGTGACCCAAAACAAAATAAAAGAGCACCTCATTATTTAATGAAAATAAGACTAAAGGTAAAGGTAAAGGTAAAGGCCCTCCCGTTGATCATCGATTTGCTCGAGCGGGCCCAGTAACGTCTCCATTGGAGACTTTGTTGTTACTGTGTCTGGCATATCGAATACTCTCGGTAGCTTGCCGGGCTCTCCGAGAGGGGCGGAGGAATCGAACTCGGGTCGGCCATGTTGGCCGCTTGTAAGGCGAACGCCCTGCCCGCTGTACTATCCCTCTAGCCCAATAAGACTATAACAACTCAATATTCCCATGTGATTTAAGCGTTAAGCAATCCATATAAATAAAGAATTCCCACTATGTGTGGAAAGCAGATTTCCTGAGCTAGCAGAGAAGTATAAACCAGGAAAGAAAAGAGGTAAACTATAGGATAACATTAGTAGGATAACAGTAAATCATCGGAATATAAACTCTACCTTTTGCTTTCATGATAGTATTGTCTTGTTTGTTTGTTTGTTCTTGAGTGAATATTTTGAATGATTAACAAGAGTTTTTAATTTAATTTTAATAATTTTAATAAATTACCCAGAATTGACCATGAAGGACTCCCTCTCTCCTCTCTCCCCAGTTTATTTCAGAAGGAGGGTACTTGCAAACTTCGAATTTGGTGTGCATTTCAATACTGGCTTTGCGGAGAGAGAGAGACCTGTTGTTCTTGTCTTGAGGCCCCACACTAGCCTTGATCATGAAAAACACTAATCCTTGGCTATGAGAAAACTGGACTTGTGGCTGTGGTACATTTCAATGAAATTCTATGAGTGCAGACTCTATCTCCCCAGAACATGCAACTTTGGCCCTAGAATTAGTTTAAATGGGGGCGGGGGGATAAGGTTAAAAAAAAAAAAAAGAAAGGAAAAAGAAAAGCCATCTCCCTACACCCTACTATTTTCACAGAACTGGGTGTCCCCATCATGCCTTTACCAGGAAAAAAAGAGGAGTTATCAGATACAATTCTAGAGGCATAAAAGCCTAAAGACTGGACCTTTGGAATCTACATAACAAAAGTGATTCACCTTATCTTACAGTAAAGTTCCTCATACATTTAATTTGCAGTTTCTATAAACTCAAAGCTTATTCCTTTGTCTAGTTCCTCCTCTAAAAATACATTGTTTCCTTTGCTAAGAAGCTTCAAAGCCCAATTTCCAACCAACCCTTGAAGATATTCAACTGCTATTCCCAGGTATAAACTGGATTCTCATGCTAATACCCTTTTTGTGAGGGTTTTTCTCTTTTTAAGTCTGTCTTTTATCAATCTTATTTTACAGGGCACCAGCCAGAACACTTTTATTACAGAAAAGAAGTCTCAATCTCTTTTCATTACACTTACTTTTAATTTTTTTTCTCTTCTCAGTAGAAAGTCTCCATCCAGGATTAAGGTCATCATAGCCTGGCTAAAAATAAACAAATAAATAAGAAACATACACATGACTTCTTTACACAACAACTATCAACTTAGGAAAATTCTGAGTTGGGGGGTCAAATCAGCTCTGCTCCCTGCCATGACAATGCCCCAGGTTGCCACCCTCAAACGTCTCCTCCATCTCCTGAACGACCATGATCCCAGAGGCACATAAACCAATCTCAGAACCCAGGGGCTTTTAGCAGTAATCCCTCTAGGCTTATTACTAAAATATCAGAAATCCAATTTCGCGCCACACAACATCATATGCTCTTCATAATCAGCAATAGAAAATAAATTATTTAATGATGTCATTTTGGCAGGTCTGAGTGTAGGGGAAAATTCCAAATAATAATGTTGGGTCTTTTGTCATAATATTGAATGTGACCAACACAGAGAGTGAGTAAAGTGGAAATCTGCCACACAGGTGTGTGTGTGTGGGGGGGGGGGGTAAATACTGGGGTTCTTGGTGGTGGAAAATGTACACTGGTGAAGGGACGGGTGTTTGATCTTTGTATGACCAAGACTTAACTGAGAGGCTTTATGACTGTTCTCACGGTGATTCAATAAAAAGAAAGAAAGAAAGAAAGAAAGAAAGAAAGAAAGAAAGAAAGAAAGAAAGGAAGGAAGGAAGGAAGGAAGGAAGGAAGGAGAAAGAAAGAGAAAGAAAGAAAGAAAGAAAGAAAGAAAGAAAGAAAGAAAGAAAGGAAGGAAGGAAGGAAGGAAGGAAGGGAAAGAAAGGAAAGAAAAGAAAAGAAAGAAAGAAAGAAAGAAAGAAAGAGAAGGAAAGAAAGAAAGAAAGAAAGAAAGAAAGAAAGAAAGAAAGAAAGAAAGAAAGAAAGATTGATTCTGAGAACACCATCAAGAACTATGGACTTTTTTTTTTTTCAGGTACCAGGATTTACAATCCTGTGAAGGGGAAGGTTTCATCCATGAAGCATTCCAGCACCAACCACCCCCAAAACCTGAGTGTCCACTTCCCTCCATCACCGTTCCAGTGACCTTTCTTGGTTGTAGCTTCCTACTGAAGACCAGTTCTTAGCTTCCGTTGCCTTCGGGTATTTCTAATCACCCTATGATGATTCTTTACACCCCACAACTACAGACTTTCTTAAAAGAACTAAATGTAAAGGTGATACTTCCCTTTGATCCCTTAGTTATACCAACTTGAAATCTACTCTACTCCACAGTCCCAAAAATCAATTGTTCTTACAATAGAAGTGTACACTTGCAAGTACTCCGGTCAAATTCAACTAAAAAGAGCATGCACAAGAACAGTAAGATACTAAGCACACAATTAATTCAAATGAAAGCAAGATACAGCAAAAATTCTAACACAGAGAGACACACACTGGGGAGAAAGCAAATGTGCTTTGCAAATAAACACTGGCCTGGATACAAGGCCCACCCTGACTGCTCTCAGACTAAGCAACCCCTTCAGGCCTGTTTTCCATAGCTTTGAAACTGGACACTGCAACTCCTACATTATCTCTAGCTCCTACATTGGTTCTGACTTTCTATGACTGAAAATTCACTGCATAAAACACAGAGAATAATGCAATACTCAAACTGAGTCTATTCATATCCTAATCTCCTGGTAACATAATGTCACATCAATACAATGAGACATAATGAGAACATAATGACACATCAATATCCCTCAAATACCATAAAACAATTGAGATTAAGTCACTGCCAAAAACCCTCCTGGCTCGCTATTAATTATTTAATCTTCAGAATTACAACAGTATTGGGAAATACTAACAAAAAATCATTTGGGGATTTATATAAAATCTTAGGCCTAAGAAAAAGAATGCAGTACCTGAGTCAAAATCTGCTTTAAGAGAATAAGCTTATGTTTTCTTACCAACTTATAAGTAATTATTAGGACATTTAAAGTGGCATTTCTTACCATGTCCTGAAAGAGTCTACTCTGTGTAATTATGGCATGCCACTCAGAGCACTTATTCCTCTTGCCTCAACTCAATGATTAAAAATATGATTAAGTCTAAAAGAATTAGGATATAGGGCTGGATCTCGAGATAGTAAAGTACAGCAGGTAAGGCTTTGTCATGCACAATGGCCAACCTGAGTTAAACCCAAGTTAGATCCTCAGCATCCTCTGTGGACCCTCAAGCAACACCAAAATTTTTTTTTTAATTTTTATTAGTGAAACACCATGAGGTACAGTTGTAGACTTACAAATTTTTGTGCTTGGGTTTCAGTTATACAATGATCAAGTACCCATCCCTCCACCAGTGCCCATTTTCCACCACCACGAATCCCAGTATCCCTCCCACCCCCCATCCCCCCCATCCCACCCTGCCTCTGTAGCAGGGCATTCCCTTTTGTTCTCTCTCCAAAATTTTTAACACAGAGCAAGGAGGGTTGCCCTGAGTATTGCCAGATGTGGTCCAAACCCCCCCCCAAAAAAATTAGTAAATAAATTTTAAAAAGTGAATTAGAATGCAATATTACTGCTGACAATAATCATCAAAAAAGCTTAAAAAAATACTCAGTTGATCATGTATAAGGATCTGTGGAAGTTATAAACGCCTCCAAATCACCAACTACATGTTCCAACACACAATATGCACATCACAACTTATTTACATAATGGCAAGTATCCCCTACTCACATTCTGCACAGTATGGAATAACACTTTAACCCTGATAAATAATAACTATGCTTCAACCTTGGGTAAATTCATAAATGCATATAGATCACAATAAAACACAACAAAAAATCTTGACAAAAAAATTTCAAGTATATTGGAATCAGTACATTAAGTATTCAAAATGTACTCATTTTCATCAAAATTACTAGTAGAAAGCAGACCATCTTTCTAGTCATCATTTAGAGCCAGTGGCCAGATATAGTGGGAGAGGGAGACATAGTCCCCCTGCGGATTGCTTAAGTAACCAAAGTCTCTCCTCAACTCAAACTGAAACAAATGAAGGTTCATTCTTCTGTATACACAAGTCTGTGAAAGTCAACTTTGTATTGCCAGATCCATCAGAGTGAGCAGAGTGAGCATCCTAGTAGCCAAATTGTGAATGAGTAAGTGAGCTAATGCTTTAAATCACTGAGCTCTGAGAATGTCTGAACGGCAAGAAAAATAGCTAAACATCATTCCAGAATTTCTGCACCCTCTCAAAAGCGTGCTCCTGCTACTTAGAGTCTGTGAAGCCTACATTTACACTGTGAGCATAAAAACAGACAATACAGGTTCCACGTTTGACCAGGCAGTAACCTGAGAAATGAATTAAAAAGACAGTAACTCAAGGTCAAGCATGATGACTGTCCCAAAATAAATACAGACAAAAGTACTAAGGGTCTTCAAAGAATTGAGAGATCATCTTAAATATAAATTTGAGAAAGATGAGTGGAATTCAAGAGATAGAAAGAAAGTCTTATATGGTATATATTTAAGTCTGGATAAGATGTGGGTGTGGAAAAATAGTAGAGGAAAACACTGCAATCAGAGAACACAACAAAGACAGTACACCAATGAAAACACAGTTTTATGTATGAAAGAAAGTAGGCTGAGTTAAGAAACACAGATCCATCAGATATGGAATTATCTGCATTTCTCTTTGGGCTTTTGGGGGGGTGGAGTGGGAATAGGGAGGGATTAATGATATCTGATTCAAGTCTCTGGGACTGCTGCTTTCTGGCTAAAGTGCCCACGACCCCCTTGTGAGCAAAGAGAAGGGTACTTGCTCCTGGCAAGATGGGAGATGTGTGCTGAAAGTAGATAAAGGACCAAACGTGATAGCCTTTCAGTATCTATATTGCAAACCATAATACCCAAAAGTAGAGAAAGAGTATGGGGGAAATTATCTGCCACAGAGGCAGGGGAGGATGGGAAGGACAGTGGGAGGGTAGGGGTACTGGAGATTTGGTTGTAGAAAATGTTCACTGGTGGAGGGATGGGTGTTTGATCATTGCATGGCTGAACACAAACATGAAAGCTTTGTAACTATCTCAGGGTGATTCAATTAAAAAAAAATCTGTTACAAATAGTACATCACAATGCCTAAATAAAACTACAATAACAAAAAAGAAAAAGAAATTTAAAAGAAATCAGTTTTATATTTTAGATACAAACGTTTCTATAGCCAACACAATTTTTTCTAGATTATTTTACTTGTAAATTTTTTAACAGCAGAAGCTAAATATAATAAAGCCCCTGTCTCTAACAGCAAAAACAAACAAAAAAGACTTCAAAATTATATTATATAGCTAGAATCTGGAAACAACGTGACTGCCCGAGAACAGACGAACAGATAAAGAAACCACGGCACATATACACAATGGAATACTACACAGCTGTTGGGGAAAATGAAGTCATAAAGTCTGCCTCAAATGAATGGACTTGAAGAGCATCATGCTGAGTGAAATGAGTCAGAAAGAGAGGGACAGATATAGAATGACTGCATTCACTTGTGGTATGCAAAAAATATGTATAGTAGAAGACATATCCATGGCCAGGGAAAACAGGGACTAAGAGCATTGGTCAATGGTTGGAATCAATCACCATTCTGTGAGGCAGAGGGTAGGTAAGATAGAGAAGGGACCAGGGTGACAGTAATAGCTAGCAATGATCATGCTGGACAAGAACTGAGTATTGAAAATAGGTAAAGGGATATACTGGATAACCTTTCTGTATTGCAAATCACAATGCTCAAAAGGAGAGAGAGAGAGAGAGAGGAGAGAGAGAAGAGGGTGAGAGAGAGGAGAGAGAGTAGAGAGAGAGAGGAGAAAGAGAGAGAGAGAGGAAGAGAGAGAGGAGAGAGAAAGAGGGTGAGAGAGAGGAGAGAGAAAGAGAGAAAGAAGAGAGAGGAGAGAGAAAGAGAGAGAGAGGAGAGAGAAAGAGAGGAGAGAGAAAGAGAGAGAGAAGAGAGAAAGAAGAGAGAGATAGAGAGAAGAGAGAGGAGAGAGAAAGAGAGAGAAGAGAGAGAGGAGAGAGGAGAGAGAGAGAAGAGAGAG